TTTCCCTGCAGAATCTCTGGTGTTTTCCACTGCATTCATCAATGCCAACCTCTCGCCCCTGGCCATCCTCATGTCCTCCTGCTGTTCCTCACATCTGTGGTCTCAGAGAATACAAGGGTTTTCCTTAAAAAAACATATTCAGATCCTCCCACAGCCTGTGTCCTCACACATGGGCAACTGAATAAATAATTCAAGGCCACCCCTGGCTTTTTTAACTCCTTTATTTTTATCTGTCTTGCAAACATGTGTTGACTAGATGGTTGCGTTTTTCTGAACAGTGGGCTGTGGTGTATTGGAAAGAATGCTGGACTGGGGACCAAGAGACCTGGGTCTGAAGTCTTTGCAACCTCGTCCATTTCTTCCTCTTCAGCCTCACTTTTCTGATCTGTAAGCTCAAGGGGATCTAGCCTTGCTCAACCAAGGTTCCTTTTCCAAATCTCAGAACCCAGAAAATGACTTGAGTAACTGTTTTCTCAGTTCTCCTAAGGATGGTACATAACTAGTACCATTTTAGATGCGTAGGAGGGAGGTTAATTCATTATGTACAGTGGATGCCTTAGAGAAGCATGTTCAGTAGAACACTCTGCGGTGTCCAATATGGTGGCCATTAGTCAACTGTGGCTGTGGAGCAATTGAAATGTGACAAGTTTAAATGAGGAACTGAAGTGAATTCTACATTTATTTAATTCATTTAAATTTAAATAGCCACATGTGATTAGGGGCTGCTGTATTAGACAGCACAGATTTGGAGCTTTAAACTTTGATTCTCATGGAACCTGCGTTAAGAAAGATGATCTCTTCCAGTGTTAGCATCCTGTATTTCTATGATTTCAGTGTGTGGATACAGGTGCCCACTGAAATCAAAGAAATGCCAAAGATTAGAAACACATACTGTACACTCCCTGAATGTGTGTAGGATACTGCCTGATTTTGGTAAAGCCCAATTTGACTCTGTGACTTTCTGAGCTATGATTTTGGTGTGGTTACTTGGTACTCATGATTCTCAGTTTCCTTAACTATAAAATGGGAGCATCACCCACCATACTCAGGATCACCCACCTTTGCTGTTTAGTTACTGACTTTGCTTTTACTTGTGCCCAGCTTATTCTTCATCCATCATTCAGACTCTGATCATTTTAAAATGTGAATTAGGTCGCGTCACCCATGTGTTGTAACCCTGCAGTGGTTTCCCATTACTTGGATGTGTAATCTACCACGTAGTCTACAGCGCCTCCCGTGATCTGGCCCTTTTGCCTCTCTTAGATGTTCTTTCCTTCGTCTGTGACACTTGCCACTCAGGTTTCTTTCAGGACCCCTATGGACCAAGCCCTTCTTTCTTGCTTAGGTCCTTTACATACCTTTAGACTGAACCTGGAATGCTTTACTCCCACTCTGTGTCATTCTTCACCATACCTTGACTAACATCTTCTATGATTATGCCAATCTAAATAAGCCCAGCACGCTCCACCCCATTATTCTCCCCTACGTCGTCTATCAGCTTTCCTTCTAGAAATGCTGAATCTGTACTGTTGTATCTATTTATCTGTTTGTTTAGGGACCGTTGCCTCTGCTGGATGGAAAGCTCTTAAGAGGGCAGGTACCACACCAAATGTACTCACCCTTGGATGGTTAATGTCTGGTAGTTGTGCAGTGCTAACAACCAGCGGCTGTTCAATGAGTATCCACTGAATGAATAGATGAAATATTGAATGAACACATGAACCAGTGATTGAACATGAGGGAGTGCACTTGGTAGAGCTCTGTGTAAATTAGGCACCTTTATTGTCAGGTGGATGATGGCTTATTCGCTCATCAGAGTATTTATTGGGAACCTACACTGTGTCGAGAACTCAGTGAAGCGCGGGTGACTATATGTGTGTCATCTAAAACAAAGCATCTAAAGAAGTAGAAAGGCTCAATTACCATAAAGGTCGGTGCGACTCCTGATTCCATACAAGGTTGTTTGTAATCTCACTGTCGTCATAAAGCCAGTCCTGTGACTCTGAGTTGCTATGCATGGATTGTGGTCATTGTAATGGAACCAGAGTGGTGCTGAGCACCTCTCTCTGCTCTCCTCATCCACTGCCTGCAAGCATATTTGTATAATCATCATTATTGCTAGTCCAGGAGTGCCTTATACATACTGCAAATATATAGAAAGTTCAGAAAACCAGAAGGAATAAAAGGAGGGAGGGAGGAATCATCCTGTGTTCTACCGCCTAGAAATTACTGCTGATAATATTTTGTTGCGTTAAGATTATTAGAACAGGGCTTCCCTGGTGGCGCAGCGGTTGAGAGTCTGCCTGCCGATGCAGGGGACGCGGGTTCGTGCCCCGGTCCGGGAAGATCCCACATGCCGCGGAGCGGCTGGGCCCGTGAGCCATGGGCACTGAGCCTGCGCGTCCGGAGCCTGTGCGCCGCAACAGTGAGAGGGCCGCGTACCGCA